TTACATACTAAAGAACATATAAGCCAGATATATAATTTATTTATCTTTTTAAACTATTTGAACTAAAAGCTTGGTAAAACTTAATTTGAATACCAAAATAATAAAAATATATTGTAAAGTAAGCATTGGAATTAGAGTAAACTTTACAAAAGTATAATGGTTTAATAATATGCTTTAACTGCAAATATTGGTTTTAACTATAATATTATTAGGTTAGTTATAAGAATAAAATATAGAAGATTTTAAAAGATTTAGTACAAAATCAAAAGTTTTTATATAAGTAACTATTTTAAAGACTTAGTAATCATGACATATTTGTATCAGTATTGACTGAGGCATTTTAGTAGATATAGGTAGGTAGATATGAGAACTAGAGTGTTTAAATAAGGAACTTACAAATAGGTTTCAGATATAGCAACTAGTATAGAACCTTTGAGTGAACTACTTAAATTAGAAAATGACTAAAGTTGTATAAGTGACTAGTTGTACACTTTTTCTATAGTTGCCTCTTGTAGTTGTAATGCAATTATTAGCTGAATGTATTATCAATAAAATTCTGAGCTATAAGTACTTATCTTAATATTTTAAAAAAAATCTTAAAAATGCAATTTATATACATTTATATCAATATGTAATTGAACACAGTTTTAAACAACTTTTATATATATTATATTAATATATAGGGTTAAGTTAATAGAAATCAAGCAAATTTTTTTCAAGTAAATTTTTTTGAAACTTTAAGTAAAGATAACTTAATTAAAACTTTATCAAATTTTATAAAACTTTTTTAAAATAACTGCTACAAATTTGTAGAATTCATTTTAAAAAATTTTTATTAAATTTAATTAAGTTTTTATTAAATTATTGTTATTTAAAGTTTCAAAAAAATTTCAGTAAAAACAATTTGCTTGATTTCTATTGACTCACCCTCATATTATAAATAGTATTATCAGTTTCTTGTTCTATTGATAAAAATTATATTATATTCTAATTTCTATTGCTCTATTCTATTGTTTTATTTTTTATTTATTTATTTATTGCTATATTTAATATTTAATTATAATCTTGTTGACAACTTTTTGTTCTATTGACAAAATTTTTATTCTATTCTAAATTCTATTCTATTGTTTTATTCATCTATTACTGCATTGACAAAAATTTTATTCTATTCTAAATTCTATTCTATTGTTCTATTCATTTATTGCTGCCAGCATTGGTTATAAACTAGGAATCAGATGCTTTGATGTCCGAAGCTAATAATATTAACGATAAGCATTTATTTTTGTCGGGCTGATCCGTTATTGATTTAAACGCTGATTAGATATATATCGCGTGAGCAGAACCCAAGACATTTTGTCTCATTTTGCAATTAAACTTAGGCGCTATGTTGAGATTTTTGTATCATTACCTTTTTGCTAAAATTCAGGAAAGTATAGGTTATACATTTTGGCGCAGAAAATTAATTTACTGCGTCAAAGGTCATAACAAAAGAGCCAACTAACAAAAAGTTGTAAATATTTTACGAAATTTGAAGTAAAAAATGGCACATATTTCGAACAATATTATTTAGTAAACAGGATTTTGTAAAAAAGTACAGTTTTCTTGTAATAGTTTCAATTCGCCATTTTACCTAATTCGCAATGTTACCAAACTAATTTGGACGTCCCAAATTATGTGTGATGAATAGCATCACGCGATTTCAGCAATAATAATGAGATAAATACCTCATGCGATATTATTCATCGCATAGTTTGGACGTCCTAAATAGTTTGAGTAACATCGTCATATAAAACCCACATTTACCATATATTGTAATCATTGTTATTAACGTTAATGGCATTTTCGAGCCACCAAAATGGAGATAACAATCTATTTCATCCTGCTAGAACGACGAATTACATTTCTCAACTTTTTTAAGCGAGATTTTCGCGATTGGTCAAAATCAATAAAAACGAACAGTTCTTTTTTTACTTTATTATTAGTCACAACAAGCATGTTTCAATTGTTAAATCCTTTTGTACACGAAACATACTAAACAAATGAAACAATGATATCGGAGACTATTAAGTAAAATGGAACAGTAAATGACGCAATAATGCATGAAAAGGGGCGACTTGAATTATTACAAAATTGAGAAATAAGCCTAACATACATATACGTACATATGTATTACTGATCCCAGACATCAATTGTATACCAATACGATTTTTGTAGTATGTGGCACCATGAAAAATCCTTCATCCCAACGATTATGTTTATTTTTATTTATGTTTTGGTGTTTTTTACAAAATAATAACAAGCGGGTAAATCATATTAACAAAGGAGGAAGGGAAAAGCTATAATTATAGTATTTACATATTTTACATAGACGAAGAGAGTAAGTGAAAAAGTATTTACACAAAAGAAAATTAAAAAAAGATAAAAAAAATAAAAAAATAAAAGTAAAATAAAAATAACAATAAAATAATAAACAAGACAACACGCGCACAACGTATCGATTATCGATTTTTTTGGTTTTTTTTTTTTCCTAAGATCAATAATGGAATCTTTGTGAATACCATATATCATAGCATATTTCTTTACCGGTAAAGCTTAATAATTGCATAATAACCACTGGGTGGTCGCATAAAAATAAAAATGGAGGTATAATGTTTTTTTAAAAAATAAAAGCGAATCGAGTTTATATACGAAGGGAATATATTCGATAAGATGGATTTATACGCGAAATACCCAATTCATATATCCCCTAAGTATAAATATTATAGGCATTAAATGAAATAATTCGATATTATAATTATCAAAAAAAAAAAAAGAAAAATCAACGGTGGGGAGGGGGAATGTATAATTAACGATGAATCTACGAGAAGGAAGAAGGGAGAATAATATATAATTAAACGAGATTTCTATGACGTTTTCCTCTACACGGACGTGGTTTATCAACCGCACCGTTACTAATCCGAGAGCCTGCTTTTGCTGTACGATGCTTCGTAAACTTATCCGAAGCGTCGCCTTTAATAAAATAAAAATGAATAATTGAATTAATAATTTTGAAATAATTTTTTGAAATTAATAAATCAATCACATTATATAAAATAAATACCATTAGCTTTTTCAGCAGTTTTGTACGGATAGATATCTAGATCATTACCGGTGCTCTTAGAATTTGATGAGTTGAGCATAAGAGGCAGATGCCTACGTCGTGCATTAATAAACCAGTTGGAAATCTGTTGTAAGTTTAACATGGTTTCCTTTGCAAGACCTTGCTTCTCTTCCTCTGTCGGATAGGGATGCTTTTTATGTCGGGCTAACCAGTCTTTAAGTAAGGCTGTTGTAGCTTTAGGTAAGTTCCCACGTCGTTTTTTTGGACCCACAGTTACAAAAGTCCCATCTATGACCTGAGGTCCTTGGGGAATGATTCGATGATCGTAAAATGAATTATGGAGTGTTGGAGATGTGGGTAATGACTGTGTATTATCTATCAGATCGTGATTAAAAATAAGATCTTTTTTTTGTATTTATTTATTTTATTATTTATTCATAAACATTTATTCGTAATAAAAGAAATATTTACCTTGACCATTTTCAAACATCCAAATTCGACTATTTCTATTTAACATATTCTCAACTCTCACCCTCCATCTGATATAATCTTCACCCCTGTAATAATACGAGTAATTCGATTCATTATGGACATTATGAAGCGGTTTTTCATGAAAAATTATTTTAGGGCAGAAAGTTCGATACTATTTATATATAAATGTTTATATATTAATTAGCAATCAAGGTAAAATTACATATATATTTACGCGTGCACGGATAAAAATTTACCTGGATTCCCATTGCTGAGGTTATTTTTATAAAGCGAACTTTTTATGGCTTAGTGTTTTAGTTGCCCGTTAATAACAATCGCGACTAAGGAAAGATTTTTTTTTTCATAAACTAAGTTCCTGTCAAAATGTCAGAGACACTTTAACGAGAAAAAGGGTTGATATTATAAGGTCGTGCGTGAGGAAGGATGTAAGACAGAAAGTTGGGGAAGTATCGGGGATTAAAATACAAATTTTCCTCATAAACACTTGGGAAAAAAAGTCTAGTTTTGGTTAGAAGTCTCTGCATTTTATTGTTGGTTAAAAAAAAGAAAAAAAAGCAATTATTGAAAAAATTTTTTTATACATGCCGAGTATTATAAAATCTTCCTTACGAGCATTTATTTATACTGTAAAATAAATACGTATATATCCATTGACCACAAACAAACGCACATCTTTTCCCATTGACGTCCAAAAAAAAAAAAAAAAATCCGCATTTACTTTTATACAATAACACGCATAATAATCAGATAATTTAAAATTTTTTTCTTGTGCTTGTGATACAAATGTAAAAACACAATACCTGGAACATGTCAACTTGTCAAAGACAATTCAAACAATAGACACAATAGACCATTATAAGAACCAAATGCATTCTTTTGTACATCCTAACCCTACCCCACCATTATCTACCCCACTTTTCCCCATGGTTCCGTATTACCAAATTTGTCGTTCATCTTTTTATTCTGTGGTAAATCCGCTTGGACCGCTACTTTAAGTTGTATACTAAGCTCATAATCTTCTATGGTAATCCCATTTTTGTCCGTATTTCAAAGTAAATTTATGTTTCTCATAACATCATTAAAGAATTAAACGTCCAAATTACAAAAAATATTTGTACAACTGTCCTGTTTGTACTCTTTATGGTCCATGTTTCTTTATTTATTGTCTATTGAATTTTGTAATAATGGTAAAATCTTGTATATAGTCATACAAATAAAAGAACAACCTTCTCGATCGTGTTACTTGGCTTTCGCCCTCTGCTCGTTCGCATAATGTTCAATTGTTCGTAGGACGCATTAAAGCATGACCGGATCATAGGACATTTTACGGCAGAATTGTGTTAATCCTGTTCAATATATGGCTACATACATGTACTCCAAATAATCTGTGCATGAATGTTGCATGCGTACGCCCATATTATTCGCTTACGCCAATTTTAGTAAAGTGTGACTTTCTTTCTTCTATAAAAATCTTAATAAACTCCACAATTTTTGTTTCAATGGCAATAGCGCCAACGGTTTATTTTGCCAAATAATTCCAAACGTAAATCAATTGACACTAGCATTGTATCGTAAGCAATCATTATGCATGTAGTGTAAAGCCATCAGGGGAAAAAAATTTTTTATCTAATCTATGGCGCAGTGAAAAGATTTATCGTTATCGTTGTATTATGATATTATTCTTGTTATTATTATTTTGACAGCTGCCGATAATTGGGCCTCTTTAAGCTTTTTATTTCTGCTTTTATTCTTTTCTTGCATTAATATTTGTGTCCGTGTAAATAAATGACGTTTTATTTTGTTAAGGTAATCCCACTCATCACACTACTTCCAAATGTTTATCCACGTGACGTCTCGCGCATATTAATGAATGATAATTTTTTGATAAAGGCAATTAAATCGAGTAAATGATGTCTTTTTATATTAGTCTAATTTATCTAATGAATTGTAATAATTAGTATTTCTTAAATAATAGGTTCGTAATTATTGCGTACAAATTGTATTTTTCTATAGTGTAAAAAGTTTGTTTTTGTTCTAAATTAAATTTTTAATTGTTTATAATAGGTAATACAGAATTAAATTATAAATAGTTGTCTAACCTTTTTTAGTTTATTAATTATATTGCTTTTTATACTGTAACCCATTTTTTAGTGTATTTACATATTTTTTATATATACTTTAACAATTTTTTTATTTTTTTTATAATATTATATATTATATCTTGGTTATTTTTTACTATATATATATAGATTATTGTATATTATATTTTAAATAGTATATTTCACATATTGTGCATTATTGCAATAATAAAAAATAATAGTTTTTATTAATTTTATATTTATTTAATTAGTTATATTAACTTATATTAATACTAATACTGCAGTATTAATATTTAAATTTAAAATTAAAGGTTTAAAAATAAAAATAAAAACTTAAATTGTAATTAAAATAAAAATTTTAAAATTATTAAATACAGTTAAATTTTAATACAGTTATTAGTTTAAAAACTAAAATTTAATATATAACAATAAATTAACTTAACTAATTATTAAGTAAATTAAATTAATATAATAACTATAACTAAGATTAGTTAAAGTTAAAACTTTAAACTATTTTAATATTAAATGTTAAAAATTTTTAATCTTTTTTTTGTTAATTTTTTTAGAGTTAGATTAAAATTTAAAAGTAATTTTATTAATAAAAAATATAAATAAATTTTATTAAATATTATAGATTTAAATAAAAATATTTTAATTTTAACTTTAATTAATATTTTTTAAAAAAATTAATAGTTTTAATTTTATTTATTTAAATTATATAATATTATATTTTAATGTAATAACTATATTTTAATAAAAATTTATTTAATTAAATAATTTAAATATAATTTGTTTAAACAAATTATTTGTTTTTTTTTAAATTTATTAATTTACTAAAAATTTGTTTTTATTAGTTTTTAATTAGTAATTATAAGTCTTATTAATAAAATTTTTTTTGATTTGTTTATACAAATTAATTTTAGTTTTATTCAAGATAATTATACAAGTTTTTTTATTTAATTATATTTATAATATTTAAGTTTGTAAATATTTGCACTTTTTTTAATTGTATTTTTTTTTTTATAAAGATATTTATTTTATTAGTTTTTTTATTTTCTTATTAGTTTTTTTACTTTTATTATTTAATTTTTTTTTTAATATTTTTTTTTTTTTATTTATTTAAATAATATCATAATAGAAACTTTAAAATACAATAAGAAATTTAATTACAGAAAAAAATTCCTAAAATAAAGATTTCTAAACTACAT